ATCCAGCCCTGCAGCCCCTCGAAGCAGCGCCTGGTGCCTCTCCGGCGTGCCCGTCAGCCCCTGCGTCACCCCCAGCATCCGTCCGCTGCCGGGAACGTGGAAACCAAGAAGAGCCCCTGGACAGAGGCTTTGGGTGATGGGCACCAGGGCCGGGGGTGGTTACTGCAGGGCAGGGGGAGCGACCGACCCCTCGCTCCCCCAGTTGTCCTCTTCTGGTTTCCTTTCTCGCATCTGCGAGGAGCTGTAGACGATTCCTTCAGATCTTAACAACCCTTAAACTATTTTTAATAAAATGCTTTTTGGTGTGACACCGATACACGCGTAGGTTTCAATTACATTTTAGCACTCCCTGTAGGAAGTAGCTCTTCATTAGGAGAAGTGACTTATGATAGTGCAGGATTATGGGTTTGGTCTTTGCATTACAGCTATTCAAAGCCTGCTGAAGATAAAAACTGCTCAGCATATATTCTATAGATGAGCTAAGCCTCGTGCACAGGGAAGCAGTTCTGAAGATGTTAAGCGTTTGAAATAAAACTGTGTAGTCATCTGGTAGAACAGAGCCATGGAATTGTTATTTATCAAGATGAAACCAGCATTTGGATAAAATCCTCCAGTGCTGTTAATAACTTCTGTTGACGAGGGAGTCACAACAGCAGCACTGAGGTAGACGTCCCCCTGAGCTCGGAGGAGCGGGATGTTTCGTGGGCTGTGAGCAAGGAGAAGCGTGTGTCTTCGGTAATAACTTTCTGAGCGGCTCCATCACAATGGCCACCATGAATTTATCTTTTTCTATTCTCTCCAAAAGCTTTGTCAGCTTTGAATAATCTACCGTGGCTGCAGACTGCCGGGGTGCCACATGGCCACGTGCGTCTCCAACATGAAGTCCAACTCCCCGAGCAGTTTTATCAGAATGATTTAGTTTCGTAACTTAAACCAAGGATGTCTCCGGAGTTCCCTATGACTACGTGGGCTTAAGATAAACAATGAATGATGAATAGGCCAATTACTGAGCCCTCCCTTCAGCTGGGGCCATATGCGACTGGGTGATAAGGGGAGGTACGCGTCCTCTCGTCTGGCAAATGTCACAGAAAATGGGACGGTTTGAAGCAGAAATGTTCTGTGTAATCAGCCGCTGGCTAATGAGAAATTTCCTTTTGTATGATTCTTCCTTTTCTCTGTTTGCTGTCTGGGATGTTGGAAGCGGGGAGGGAGGCAGCAGCCTGACCGACATGCGTGCAAAATCTTGGCTTTGGGATAAATCCCTGCCCTCTGCCCCCACGGCGGGTCCCAGTCCGAGACACAACAGCAGCGGGAGATGGCTCAGGGCTGCACGACAGCACTGCGCATGTCTCCTGAAGGCGTGGACGACTTTCCTGAGAGACCCACCCAAACCAGGGGAAATGACCATCTGTAAATCTACTGTCAGCCTGCCCAAAGATTCATGTGTGCAACAGCAAAGGGGGACAGACCACTTGGACCACAGCTGAGGACCAAGGGACTGACCACTTGGACCACAGCTGAGGACCAAGGGACTGACACTTTGGACCACAGCTGAGGACCAAGGGACTGACACCTTGGACCATGGCTGCAGGACCAGGGGACAGACATCTTGGACCACGGCTGAGGACCAGGGGACAAACACCTTGGACCATGGCTGCAGGACCAGGGTGCAGACACCTTGGACAATGGATGCAGGACCAGGGTACAGACATCTTGGACCACAGCTGAGGACCAGGGGACAGACACCTTGGACCGTGGCGGCAGGACTGGGGTACAGACACTGTGGGCAACGGGTGCAATGCCCCAGACAAGCTGCAAGCCAGCACTCTGGATGTATTTTGGGGCTGGAGCACCTAAAAGAGCAAAGCAAGAGGGGTTTCCCTATCGAGAGACACCCCCAGGAAGCACCCAAGGAGAAGGGGCAAAGGCTAGCAGAGGTGGACGTAGCGGGGTCCCCCCAGGTGCTGCAGCTCCGTGTTGCTCCCCTGGCTCCATCCAGACACGGATGCCACCCTGCAGCAAGAGCCGCCAGGCGCCGCGTCCCGCGGTAAACGATATGATTTACTTACTACCTACGGAATTGCCCAATTAATTCACTATCCACATTAATATTATGGCTCATTTTTAACTTTACTGTCTCCATCGTTCCAATTTAGTGCTTCTCAGAGATGCTGCCACTGACCTTAATGGGTTTTTCATTATAAAAAAGAGCTCCATATTAATCATGACGAGTTTTCAGCTGGAGGTTGCTGCCCGAGCCCCACTGCTGTGGAGAGCTGCTTTTTAGCAGCTCAGGGACCTATTTTATTTCTGCCGGGCTTCTCACCCCCGCTCACACCATGTGCAAGCCTCCGCACCGTCCGGGTGGAATTTCTTGATATAACATTTCCAGGCACAGAGATTTTATGCGGCAGCCGAGCCACGCTGCGGAGATGATGGATTTTTCTGGGCAAATCGGAGCAAGAAGTAGAAAACTGAAAGGATGCACCAGTCGTAGCCAATGAGCCTCTTACTGTCCTGTATAAAAATCAAATGCCTTTTAATCATTTCAAATGTTCTTCTGGGTATCAATTAGTCACACATTAATATCAGTATTGCTTCTCTTCCTCAGTTCACATCAGATTAAATTCTCCCCTGTCATATAGACTTGCGCTCATTAGCTGCAAGGAAAATTAGTGATTGTTCCCTCTCCATTGGCACTGATGGGAGATTTCCATTGGAACTGCTTTTTATACAGACAACCTGATTGTCATCTTAAAGAGCTGGACTTTTTTTTCCCCAGAAACTGTTGTCTTCTCATGGAAAATCCTTCTGTTTTTCTTTCTCTGAAACCCTG